ACACAGCTTGAACCTAATGCTAACTGAGAGAAAGGCAATAATGCCTTGGCGGCAGCCTGGAACCAACTAAAGGCCTACCCTCCCAACACCCCACAAAACGCCAGCCTATATCAAGGCAACATGGCAGCAGCAGAAGGGAAAGGCCCATCGAAGGCAGACTCCAGCAACTCAGACTACCTCCTGGGCCTACTCAGCATCTAGACAGGGGCCCGACAGAAACAATGAAAAGGCAGAAGGAAACTGCCAGTACGTAGTCCAGACTGAGATCTAGATTCAGCCTTGAATGCACTTGAGCTATGACTCTACGCTCCTCCACCTGGACTCAACATCCCGAGACCCTGATAATGGAGAATGCCATCTACAGAGGCTGTATCAGTCAGGACCAAGATTCCTCAAGGTTATTTGATGATATCAAGGGACTCATAATTTTTAAGTGTGTAATGGGATTATAGTTTTATTTTTTAAAGTTCGTATCTTTTAGAGACACAAACTGAAATATTCACAAGTAAAATGAAATGATCCACCTTTAAAATACTTTGAGGGCCGGAAAGGACGGGGGATATAGGGGAAATGAGAATGTCCATGAGTTGATCACTATGGAGGTTGGGGACATGGAGATTCATTACACTATTTTCTCTCTTTTTCTAGGTTAGAAATTCTTCGTGATAAAAAAATATGTCTGAGAGTGGTCCCAGGAAAATCACGTTCCACCAAGGAGTGTCCGCTGGAAGGGGGAGTGGAGGACAGAGGCAAGTACAAATGAGTCGTGGGCTTCCCTCCTTTTGGGGGCACCGTCGAAGAAGCTGCTAACATCACACTATGCAATCATTCACATCCAGCCTGGCCGCCTCGACCCACACAGAATCGTAATAAAAGGTGTGAGCTAACCCCCCTCCGTCTCTTCTTTATTGTTCATCACCAAAAGGCTCAGTGGAAGCTTTGTAAACACTTCTACTCCCTCATTTACACACATAGGGAACAGGTCACTGAGGGCCACTCATTCCAAACACTGTTGTAAATTCTACACTCAAATAGCTTTGGGCTCCAAAGTGTCAGAGATGTTTCTTCAGAGACAAAGCGTTGGCACAAAAAGTCTCAAACGTACTGCCCTGAAACTAGATCGGTGCTTCCCTTCTCTGCTGATTGGAGGGTGAGGGGTCTACCATTCCAACAAGCTGATAGAGTGCAGGGCACTGAAAAAATATGGTGACAATTTTAATGGTCAAAAGTAGGTCCATGAGTAAGACAATAATGGTATGCTGTACATGGGAACACGTCACAGCTATTTAAATGATGTTCGTGAAGGGGGCACCTGGGTGGCTCAGTCGGTTAAGCGTCGGACTCCTGATTTCAGCTCAGGTTGTGATCTCAGGGTGGTGAGATCGAGCCCCGAGTTGGGCTCCACACTGGGCGTGGAGCCTGCTTAAGATTCTCTGTCCCCCCTGCCCCTCCAGGCCTCACATGTGTGTGTTGGGGCGCCTCAGTGGTTCAGTCGTTAAGTGTATGCCTTCGGCTCAGGTCATGATCTCAGGGTCCTGGGATCAAGCCCTGCATTCTCCCTCTCCCACTCCCCCTGCTGTGTTCCCTCTCTCACGGTCTCTCACTGTCTGTCAAATAAATAAATAAAATCTTTTAAAAAATTAAATTAAATTAAATTTTAAAAAGTATGGATAGCTGGCACCTTGCTCTTTTCCCTCTTCCTCCTCTCTCTCTCTCTCTCAAAAGAGGAAAAAAAAGATGTGCATGAACAGTTTATAATACCATGGGAAGTGCTTACGTTACTCTGTTAAATGAAAAAATAAGGACACAAAATTGTTTATTTTATATAATCACCATGATGTAAAATATACGGCTACATGGAGACAAAAGGAAACACCCTCTGTCTTAATCGTGATTAAGCCAGGATGGTGGCATTAGGAATGATTCCGATCCGCATATTTTTCCTTAGGGTAGAGGCATACACAGGAGACCCTCTAAATTAGTAGAATGTGGGGGGTCTTTAAAGCATAGGTTTTCAGCCAGGGACTCTTAACTGGGTACCATGGATAGAATTCAGGGCAGCTATAAACTTGGCTGGGAAAAAAAATACGTCTTTCTTTTCGCTAACCTCTAACTGAAAATTGTTTTCCTTTTGGATTTTTTTTTTTGTAGTACAATGTACATAATAGAATTTACCAGTTACCATTAAGTACGTTGACACTGGTGAACAACAGTCACCACCAGCCATCTCCAGGCTGAAATTTAATACTTTAGTCATGAATACAGTCAAAGAAGCAGAGTAAATTTCCAGTATCTGTGACTCTGTCACCACTAGAAATCAAAGCTGTTTTCATATCACATGACAGTTATTGCAAGTATACTGAACTACTTTTTCAAAGATTTATTTATTTGTTGGGGGGGAGGAGCAGGGGAGAGGGAGAGAGAGAATCCTCGAGCAGACTCCGCACTGAGTGCGGAGACCAACGCAGGGCTCGATCTCAGGACCCTGAGATCACAACCTGAGCCAAAATCAAGAGTTGGATGCTTACCAGACTGAGCCACCCAGGCGCCCCGGTATACGGAACTATTCTTGTTCATGCTCCTCACAGCTTTGAAATTAGATAATTATATGACCTGCCACCAAGTCTTGTTATTTAATGCAAAATTACTAGGTTACAAATTCCTTTTGTAATACTGCGTTCACCATATTTCGATATGTTTTCCTTTGTAATCCTATGTGTTTTATTTCCTGCATTTAAAAAATATTATTCTGGGGTGCCTGGGTGGCTCAGTCAGTTAAGCACCTGCCTTCAGCTCAGGTCATGATCTCATGTCCCTCTCCCTCTGCCGCTCCCCGTTAGTGCTCTCTCACTCTCCCTCTCTGTCAAATAAATAAATAAAATCTTTAAAAAAAAAACAAAAAATATTATTCTGAGAAGAAACGTGTTGTTTTCATCAGACCGCCAAAGAGGTTCACAAGACAAAAAAAAATTAAGAAACCCTCAGCAGATGTGTTCTGGCAGATGGAGTAATTAAAGATTTAGCTACCCTCGACATACAATAATGGCTTTAGTGATGCGTGTCCAAATTCTTTGTAATTTTTCTGTGGTGATGTGGCCTAGTACAATATGATACCACATCCATCTGTATCTCCCCAACATCCACTGTGCATTTAGCCCTTAGAATAATCCTGTCTGTGTGTATCCCTTTGGAAAACAATGTCTGAGGGACCCCAAAAGACATTCACAGATGAAAAGGAAGCTAATGGCAGAAAGAGTATGAAAATATCAGAGCAGATTTTAAGAAGAGGAACAAACTGACCTCATTTTTAAAAAAGAATCCATTTCCCTAATATACTTCTTCTTTTATTCAAAAATATTTTGGGGGGGGGGAAGATGCTCAACACCACCAATCATCAGGGAAATGCAAATCCAAACCACACTGAGAGATCACCTCACACCTGTCAGAATGGCTAGCGTCAAAAAGACAAGAAATAACAAGTATAGGGAAGGGTGTGGAGAAAAGGGAACCCTTGTGCACTGTCCGTAGGAATATAAATTGGTGCAGCCACTATGGAAAACAGTAGGAGGTTCCCCGAAAAATATGATCCAGCGATCCCACTTCTGGGTGTTCACCCAAAGAAAATGAAAACACAGACTTGAAAAGTGATCTGTACCCCCGCGTTCATGGCAACATTATTCACAATAGCCAAGACACGGAAACCACCTAAACGCCCACTGAATGGAAAAAGAAAACGTAATATATATGTGTGTGTGTACACACACACATACACACACAAAATGAGATATTACTCAGCCATAAAAAAATGAGATCTTGTCATGTGCAACAACGTGGGTAGATCTTGAGGGCATTATGCTAAGCGAAACAGAGAAAGCCAAATACCGTATGAGCTCACTTACGTGTGGAATCAAAAAATAAATAAATGAACGAAGCTCACAGACACAGAGAACAGCTTAATGGTTGTTGCCAGAGGCGAGGGGTGGGGGGTGGGTGAAAAACATCAAGGTGTTCAAAAAGTACAAACTTTCAGTTATAAGATAAATAAGTTATAAGATCAATAAGCCCTGGGGATGTCATGTGCAGCATGGTGACTGTAATTAACATTGTTTTGCATATTTAGAAGTTGCTAAGAGAGTAAATCTTAAAAGTTCTCATCACAAGAAAAAAAGTTGTCTATGTATGGTGACAGATGTTAACTAGATTGATTGTGGTGACTGTTTCCCAATATATGCAAATACCAAATCGCTATGTTGTCCACCCGAAACTAAGACAATGTCATATGTCAGTCATACTTCAATCAAAAAATCTTTTTGGAATCGGGGATGGCGATGAGCACTGTATTCCCTGGGCTATAACCACCATTTGATACCTTTCTGTGCAAATAAGATGTTCTTTTCTGCAAGTCCCACGTCCTCTGTAATTTTCAAATAAAACTGCTCTCATGCTGAGCGAGCTCTACCTAACCTAAAATCACTTCCTATGAGAGAAGACTTCACGCACCCCCGTCCCCACAGGAGGTCCACAAAGTCGGGTCTCAGTGGTTTTTCCATGAACCCAAATCCCTGGCGAGGCTGACTGGCCAAGGGGGAGGCGGGTACGTGACCCTGGGAATTTGGAACTGGAACCTAAAGTTACTCCCTGATGCTTTGAACCGCGGGCGAGTCAACTTGGGGCTATAAGGTGGGCGTGTTTGGAGATGTGCATGCTCAGGCTGGTAGATCAACCCAGGATAGGACAAGGGAACGTGGAGAGGGGTGAAGATGCTTCAGCTGCACCTTCTGCGCCGGACCTCTGTACCCATGTTAGCGAAACCCCCTTCGGGCTAGGACTGGTCCAGTGGGGACCCTAACTGCTGAGTTTAGAGTTGGCCCCTACGGCACCCCCACAAGGCAGCTCATGATTTTCCCGGGCCCTCTCTTCCCAAGTTAAGCCTCAGTGTGTCCCCCCCACCCCCCGTGCCTTTTGCAGGAAAGCACGAAACAGCCACCCAAGCAGCAAACCTCGGGTCTGCCAATGCTTCTGCGGACCCTGGCTCCAACCCCTTCCGACTGCTCCCGGCTCAGCACTGACAGGGTAACCTTCTTGGAGGATGCCATGTCGAAGTCTAAAGAGAGTGTTCCGATGCTAAGCTGTAGAGGTTAGAGGGCCAAAAGAGGAGCAACAAAAAAGAAAAATCATAAGGCGGGCACATCCAAAGACTACGAAATAAAGGATATTAAATTCAGACCTGCCCGAAATATTAACAGCTACAATATATTGACTCCTTACTCTGTACAAGACCTGGATTAGGAAATTTTAAACAATAATGCTGGTGAATATGTACGAGTACTAATGTATCAGTACCACTAATTATTTGCAATCTCATATAATCCCACAGCCATCTTTTACAAGATTTAGCAATAACAGCTCTGCTGGGCACTTACCACTAATGAGCAATTTATCTGCTTTCCTTTTTTTTTAAGTAGGCTCCACGCCCATCATGGGGCTGGCACTCATGACCTCAAGGTCAAGAGTCGCATGCTCTACTAACTGGGCCAGGCGCCCCTTTATCTGCTTTATCTCATTGAAATTTCTCAACCTCCCCAACCCCACATTGCCCCCACAAGGTAGGTGCTACCCTGAGGCTGAGATTTACGTGGTGACTAAGGGAACACAAAGGAAATCCATGAGGTCTGTGACTCTCACCAGAACATGTCAAAGCTCTCGGCACTGAAAGGATCTTCGAGGGTCACCAAATTCAAAGATCCATCTATCCCTAAAGTTCAGGGCGAAGTTTAGTGGCAAGAAATCTGAGCTTTGTCAGGAAGTCTTCAAGAGCGCCGGAAACTGAAAAGGAGGTGCCCTTGACGATGCATCTTGTATTTGAGGACCAATCTATACCCCGCCTTTATTATTCAAAAGAGTTTTCTCTTTGTGGGCCTGAGTTCTACCGAATGGAGTATCCCAGAACAGACACAATCCATATCTTTTCCACTTCAAATGCTTGCAGACAGTACCACCAAATCTCTAAAACTCTTCAAGCGAAATAGAATCCATTCCTTCAAAGATTCCTACTCAAATCAACAGAGATGCTTTAGCAAGAAGCATAGACCCTAGAGCCCGAGAGCCTGGGTTTGCATCCCGGCGTCACCGGGTACCAGCTGTGTGACCTGAGGCCACTTGCTAAGCCTCTCTGTTCCTCAGTTTTTCCATCTGTGAAATAGGGGTACTAAGGCTGCCTACCTCAACGAAGTGTAGTGAGCCTTCTAAGAACGTTAACTCCTGTTATGGAGAGCACTCTACTCCGCAAGTCCCGGCCCGTCCGTCAAAATGTGTCCTCCTGGGGGCAGGCCGTCAATCAATACTTACTGGGCGCTGGACAGTGGGGCTCAGAAGTGAATTCAATCCTCAGAGCGGTACAGAACCGTCAGCACCTACCTACAACAACTAGGAAGGGCTTTCCCCCTCCATGCGCCACTTCTAGGTCCTTCCAGACTCCCGCCCGTAAATGCTGTGCACGCGGACAACTGACGAGGTGCTTACCAGATCGCAGTGCTTGGCAGACAGGAAAGCCGCCTACCACCTTCGCCCAGTGTCAGAGACCTACTGAAGCATCTCCCGTCCCCTGCCAGGAGCTGCCCCCGGGAGTCGACGGCGGGCTGGGGAAGGCGGGGTCCCGCGCCGGGAGCCCAGCACCCCCGCGGGCCTGCGGTCCCCACACGGCGGCGGCGGCGGCGGCGGCTGGGGCGGCGGCGCGGGGCGCGGGCGCTGAGCGCAGGGCGGGGAGGGCGCCGGGCCAGCCGTCTCACCGTGACTCAGCGTTTCGGCGCCCGCGGCCGCCGGGTGGGCGGGAGGCGGGAGTCTGCGGGTCTCCGGGGATTTGGGGCGAGGGACGCCCCCACTGTTTCCGGGCAGCCGGGCTCCTCTCGCGCCGCCCTCCGCCCCTCCCCTGCGGGCTCTGCAGCCCAGCGACCTCTGCGCCCCTCCCGCCCGGGAGAGATGCGACCCCCCCCCCCGGGTCTGGGGGCTCCCTGGGCCGGGCAGGTGCTCCGATCAGGGCGCTGTGGGTTCCGTTTGTGCCTCCATCGCTTGTTAGCAGCGCGAGCTGGGGCCGGTGGCTCAGCCTCTCTGTGCCCCCAGGTCTTCCACTGTGAAATGGGGATGGGGATAATAGAACCCCCCTGGTAGGGTTGTAGTGAGAATTCAACGAGCTTGGTATGCCCTCAGTACTACCCGAAAGTTTGGCGCTTAGAACGGGGGAGGAAGAGGGGGCAAGTCTCAGAGCGCAGACTTTTTTGCTCCTGCCTAAAAAAGAGACTCACTCTAGTGGGGAGCCAGTTGGTTAAGAGCTTGGTTGCCGTGGAGGGCAGTGGGCAGGCGCTGAAGAGTTTTCCCAGAGCAGTGCGGACTTGCAGGAGCCAGTGAGCCGATCTAGTTCATTGCTGGGATGCTTAGCCAAGGCTATAGGCATGGCTGCCGGTCTCTGTCCTCTAAATACTAGAAAGCTCATTGTGCGGTTTGGGGAAAGGAAAGAGAGTGGCATTTCTAAAACAGGGGCCAGAAAACTCTGTAAAGGGCCAGAAGGTAATGTTTTCAGCTTTGCAGGCCACATACATTCTCTGTGAAGACTGCTCCAGGTGGCCTTGGTAGCAACAAACCAGCCATAGACAGCCCGTAAATAAATGGGTGTGGCTGTTTTGATTAAACTTTAATTATGGTTACTGTTGGGGAGGAAGGATTTCCTCTGCCCTTCAAGATCCTTTTAGCTGGACTAAGAATCAAATTGACATGAGACAGATGAACAGGAGAAAATTAAATTTAATTTCGTAAATGCAGGGAATCCACACAGCCTGAAATTCCAAAGACACTGAGGCACCATGAGGTTTATCTGGCGTCCAGAGCTCAGGGGAGGGGGCGGGGCGTGGGAAAACAAAGGGAAGGAAGACCCATTTGCAGGAAGGTGAGAGATGTTTGTAAAACGAAGGTTGCCCTGCTCTGCACACAAGTTTCTTAAGTAAAGAGGAACCTCTGTTAATAGCTCTCTTCTTGGTACAGGCTCTCCCTTCCAATGTAAATGTAGGCAGTTGAGGGGGAAGTAAAGCGCTTTTCCTGAATCTGCTGGGTTTTGATCTCTTTTAACTCAAAATAATCTTCTTGCCAAAGTGGCCCATCTGGGAGGATGCCTGCGTGGCTCAGTCAGTTAAGCGTTTGCCTTAGGCTCAGGTCATGATCCTAGGGTCCTGGGATCGAGTCCCTGCTGAGCGGTAAGCCTGCTTCTCCCTCTCCCTCTGCCCTTCCACCTGCTCCTGTTTTCTCTCTCTCAAATAAATAAATAAAATCTTAAAAAAAAAAAAAAGTGCCCTATCTTGAGGTGATCTGCCCTTGCCCCTACTATACTGAAATTTGAATTTCATATAACTTTCACTTGTCATGAAATATTCTTTTGATTTTTTTTTTTTAATTTCAACCACTTAAAAATGTAAAAACTGCTCTCAGCTCACAGACTGTAAAAAGTAGGTAGTGGGCCAGGCTTGCCTGCAGGCCTGGTTTGCAGACCCCTGCTCTAAAAGAACAAGGTAGTAGAGGAAAAAGGACTTTCCCCTGGACTCTTTATATGTCAGTGGGACTCAAATCCTTCCTCTCTACCTTACTGTGATTCAAGGCTAATTGAGCTAATACATGTGAATATTAAAAGTGCCATGAAATAACACAGTATTGTTACTTATCATCATGATGCTGACTTCTGAAACTCTCTCCAAATAAAATAGAAATATGGACTCTCAGTCAGGCTCTTTGCAATCTTTAGTAAATGGTTCTGCAATTGCTACCAAAAATGTCAACATTTAGCCAATTGCCTGGGCCTGAAACTCAAGCTATCCCCATCACTCTTCCACCTTGAAATCCTGTGGATTCCACGCCTAATGTCATCTTATCTGGTAGCCACGCCCCTCTTCCTGCCTTCAGGTTGGCCACTGGCCAATCCACTCTCCATGTCCCAGGGAAATCTAATAAAGGCCGAAAACCTTCAGGGCCCTCAAGACAAGGTCTTGTGATGTCTCTAATCTGGCCTCACCCTCAACAGGCTGATACTTGCTCAAGGATACACACACACACACACACAGAGGCACTCCACTCCCTCTTTCCACCAGGCTGACTTCTTTTAGGCTCTGGAACGTGTATTTTCCCACTTGTTGGCTTGCTGTGCCTCTGTCTGCAATTTTCTCTCTCCTTGATCTGGCTTATCCCCATTCGTCTTTTAGCTCAGTTTCCATGTCACTGCCGGTGGGAAACCTTCCCCTCACATCTGGGTGAGATGTTTAACATGGCCATCGTTGTGAGACAGGGAAGCTGAAGGGGCTCCATGGGAAAAAAACTACCTTTTTTCTCCTTTTCCTGCTTCTGTTCTTGCTAGGACCTGCACCCCCGCCTTATGTCCCCCTTCTAAAGGTCAAGGACTTAACGATTTCTTTGGAGTCTTCCAGCGCAATAGATAACACCTACAGAGTGACCAGGCGGGCCATCGTGAACTTTTTCCAAGACCTCTGACTCCAGACACCTTGACGCCAAGACCCCTGGCTCCATAAGTGACTTATGGAGGACATCAGAGCACTGCTCCTTGTTCTGACCAGTTCCTGGATGCCTGAGAGGACGCGACACCAGACCATTGTCTTCTATAAAAACTCCAGACCCCGAGCAAAGACGAGACTCACTCCCCTTCCTTTCTGGGTCTCCCAGCCACTCAGTATGTGCTCTCTCTCTCTGTCTTCAATAAACTCTGCTCTCCCTTCCTCCTGGCTTGCTGTTGATTTCTATCCCGCACGCAGCCGGGCCCCTCTTGGCTGGTCCTGTGAGAACCCTCTGGGTCCTTGAACCCAGGCCAGCCTGCGACAATCACAACCACCCCCTGTTGATCAGACTCATTGTTTATCATCTTGGGGTAGAAGATTCTCTTTTCCTATAACAGCTGCAACAGTATGTCCCATGAGACATGTCTTCTGCCATGTGACTTCGATACTCCCTCCATTGCAAGTGGCGTTTACTTCTCTTCTTCCGGGTCTAAGCAGGGCTTCTGGTTGCTTTGACCAGTGCAATACAGTGCAAGCGACTCTGTGCCAGTTGTGGGCATGGCTCTGAGACGGCCTGGTGGCTTCTGCTTCCTCCTCCTGGGAGTAGCTGGCCTGTGAGCAGAGCCGTGGCTCTGAGACCACCATCCGGGGAGAAGCCCGTGCCACGTGGATACGACAGGAGCACCCCATGCGTCCTTCCCCACTGCGCAAATAAAAACGGTTGTTTTAAGCCACTTGGTTTCTAGATCATTTGTTTGGTGATGATAGACAACTGGAAAATATACTTTTGTGCAAGAGGAGACGAGGTGGGTTTTCAAAGCTCCCTGGGCTAAAGAAACGCTCTTACAAATATTGACCCTTTTAGAAAGTGGATGTGTCCATTTAAATGTTATTACCAAGGTGACCAGCCATCCAGCAAGATAAACAATTCTTTTTTTTTTTTTTTAAGATTTTATTTATTTATTTGACAGAGAAAGACAGCGAGAGAGGGAACACAAGCAGGGGGAGTGGGAGAGGGAGAAGCAGGCTTCTCGCTGAGCAGGGAGCCCAATGCGGGGCTCGATCCCTGGGATCCTGACCTGAGCCGAAGGCAGACGCTTAACGACTGAGCCACCCAGGCGCCCCGAGATAAACAATTCTTAAACTTGACTTGAGAGCTGAAGCGCTGCATACCACGGGCCACAGCACTGAAGTCTGGAGTTCAGGGGTCCTGGAAGGCTCCTCTGTTATAAGCAGCATTTGCAAGGAGAGCTTTGCGTTAAAAGGAAGCAGAAGAGAACGGCTTCACTGTACATCATTGCCCACTTCTCTAGCAGATTTGTAAGGCTCTTGGGGGTGCTTTCAGTTGACCACCTTTTCTTTTTTCTTTTTTTTTTTTTTTTAAAGATTTTATTTATTTATTTGACAGAGAGAGAGATAGTGAGAGCAGGAACACAAGCAGGGGGAGTGGGAGAGCAAGAAGCAGGCTTCCTGCCGAGCAGGGAGCCCGATGTGGGACTCGATCCCAGGACCCTGGGATCATGACCTGAGCCGAAGGCAGACGCTTAACGACTGAGCCACCCAGGCGCCCTTGACCACCTTTTCAAAGTCTCCTCTGGGCCTCAGAACCCCCTCCACCTTCGAAACGGTACCAGGGGTGAGAGCTTCCCTTTTTTCTTGTCTTTGAGAGGCCAGTCATGGGGGCAAACTAAGTCCGAGGGCCTGCCTGGTCAGGGCAAGGCAGGGAGCTCTCTTTGCAGACCCCGTGGAGGAAAAGAATGGGGCTGAAAAGCTAGAAGACCGAAACCAAGGACAAAGCAAAGTCAGAGAGGGGCAAATGTTTACAGATGGAATACAGGGCATGGAACTGTTCACTGGCGGGGCCCACTTTGGAGATGAGCAGCGTGACCCTGTACGTGGAGCCTGGCACACTTTTCACACTGTCATCTGCCATCCAGATGGAGATGTCCAACGTGTGTGGATATCCGAGTGTGTAGCTGCATCATCAACGGCCCTCAGGCTCCTGGGAAGCATAAAGAAAACTCTGTGCCGATGTGACAACGAAGAACCTTCCCTAAATGATTCTAAATAACACCCTTACAATCTTTAAAGACCCACACATGTCGACATATTTTATTTGACCTTTTTTTCTCAAAAATTGTATTTTCCTCTTTTGTCTGACTTACTGATTTTCTTCTCCAAGATGTATTTTATAGAAATACACGGACGTCTTCCATATTTCCTCATGTCCAGTTTTTGTCTCCTTCTAGCATGCAGCTCAAAAATGCTTTCTCGCAGGTTGGTCAGGTTTTAGTAACTTGCCTCCCAGAGCACTACTGCGGCTCTTCATGAAATGACAAATGTCTCTGGAATATTCCAAATTAGGCATTCAGACTCACCGAAGCCAGGACATCCACTGGCTCCAAACCAGACACTGATTGTTTTGTAAACATTAGTTTATGAAGGTCATTAATGGGCTGCTGGTTGAGGACATCCAAGTACATCCATCAGAGAGGGGCATCTGTGACTCCCACTTCCACCCTCGTGAGGGCAATCTGCACAACCCCGGGTCTCTTCTATCACCCAGCCTTCTGACCCCGAAGTTACATGGGATCCACCACTGCGTGGAACGCATAATGTGTTCCTATCTTTCCCATGGGTTTTTGGCAGCATTCCAGAAAAGAATAGCTCATGACCCTCTCTTTTGAGCCACAGAAATTTCCTAGAATTCACCACAAGTAAAATGTTCTTGGCCCTGAAAGGCTGATCCATCTCTGAACCAAGGAAGTGGAGACATTTAGGTGAATGATTCCCCTGATACTTACCTCCGTCACCCTGATAACCTTTCTCACTTTCAGCTTTTATATGGTGGTGTCTTCTGGCTAAATGGAGGCTGCTTTCAAGATCACAGTATTGGAGTTCAAATAAAAGGCTAATTTGAATTAACCTCTATCTAGTTAATGTTTGAGGTGGACCGATGTCTGCAACTTACTCTGAATGCACCAGAAAATAACAACAATGGTAAGAATAGTAATAGCAGTAGAAACAGTAAGACCAATAATGTGGATCGATGAGAGATGGATACACAGATATATGACAAAGCCAGTTTAGCAAAATCTAATTGCAGAATCTAGATGGTGGTGTATGGGTACTCACGGTACAAATTCTTTTTACTTTTCTGTATTTGGAAATTTCCCATGATAAACTTTTGGGAAAGACCATTTGAATCAAAGTGGGAATCATGGCCGGAAGGGTTCCATAAAGATACCTCCTTTGATATGTTGGAGAAATGTGTGTTTTACTCTAGTTTAACTTTTTTTTTTTTAAAGATTTTATTTATTTATTTGAGACAGAGAGAATGAGAGAGAGAGAGCACATGAGAGGGGGGGAGGGTCAGAGGGAGAAGCAGGCTCCCCGCCAAGCAGGGAGCCCGATGCAGGACTCGATCCAGGGACTCCAGATCATGACCTGAGCCGAAGGCAGTCGCTTAACCAACTGAGCCACCCAGGCGCCCTACTCTAGTTTAACTTTTATAGGATTTGTTCCTACCATACTAATCAAATAAAACTTGAAAATGTCAAAAAAAAAAAAAAAAGATACCTCCTTGCCTACTTTCTTCACTTCCAACTCTGGCATCTGGTACGCAGTCCAGTTCAGTGAATGTCTGTTGAATTGAGCTGTTGAACTTAATTCCAAGCTACCAGATCACTTCCACAGCTGGCAAGATTCTTCTAGAGCATGAGTTGGCAAATTTTTTTCTGTGAAGGCCAGATAGTAAATATTTGAGACTTGGCGGGCATAAGGTCTCTGGTACAAGGGCTCCGCTAAGCAGCCACGCACAATACATCACGAATGGTCGTGGCTGTGTTCCCATAAATTTGATTTACAAAAACAGGTTGTGGTCATAGTTTGCCAACCCCATCTTAGCCCCCAAATCCTTACCTTCCACTAAAAAGTGAGAGTAAAATTGACAGCATGCCAACAGGCTCTGTAAAGATTTCATTCGTATCGATAAAGGGGCTAACAAAAAGAAACAATAAACCTTTTCATGTCCACCTCCACCCCCCACTTACCCATCTCCTCTCATAAGGACCAAGTCTAACTGTTCCACCATTGAGCCCGAGGTTTAATAGGCAAGCATTTCTAGGAGAGGCGATACATTAACATTCCAGCCCCATAAGCGTAGACTCTTCACATCTGATCCCAACCTCCAAGTAGATCATCTTAGCACCAGGGGAATAAATGCAGGAGGTTACAGAGGGACACCCCCAGGGAAGAGACGCCCATGAAAAAAGCTCAGGCCGTAGAGAGAGATGCCCTTGGGGCTTACTCTTTAGTAAAAGCAGAAAGGTAATAAATGAATCGTGCAGCAGGTTTTAAGGTGTTAAGCACCATGGAGAAAGACGAAATAGAGCAGAGTAAGGGCCATTGGCAGGCTGGGTGGAGTGAGGTGGTAGGACGAAACAAGGTGGTCCAGGGAGGGCTCATTAGGAAGATGCCATTTGAAGCAGAGCCCCAAGATGAGCCAATGAACCAGGCAGATATCTGTGACAGTCTGCCAAGCAGAGGAAACCACCAATGCAAAGGCCCTGGGGCAGACAGTGCTCTGAATATTGTAGGAGGAGCAAGGAGGCCAGCTTTCAGAGGGGCAATGTGAGGTAGAAGAATCATGAGATGAGGTTAGAGACAGTACTGGTGGACCAGAAGAGGGGGGACCAAGGGAGAGTTCAGACTGGAGGAGTGGCAGGACTCGAGTTACATTGAAAAGAATCACTCCGGCTAGCCAGTGGCCAACAGACCTCCAGGAGCAAGAGCAGAAGCAGGGAGAGAAGTCAGGAGGCAAGGGCAACATTGCAGGTGAGGGACGGTGGCGATTTAGACCAGCAAGTAGCAGAAGAGGCGGTGAAAAGTGGCCACATTTGGGATATATTCTGAAGAGAGAGCTCACCATATCATGTGAAGGACTGGATGCTGGGTGCGAAGGAAGGGGAAAAGGCAAGGGTGATTCCACATTCTTTGGCCTGAGCAGTGGGAAAATTTGTGTTGCTGTTATCTGAGAGGGAATGACAATGGGAGAAGGTAGTGGGGGAGGCGAGGGGGCGGTCAGCCGGGAGGTCGGCACTGGGCATGGTGAGTTAGACACGTTTATTAGACATTCCAAGTAGAGATGGACAAGGTGACAGTCGAATGAAAGTCTGGAATTCAGGGGAGAGGAGCTGGCTGAAATTTGGAATCATAAGCATATAGATGGCATTTTAAAGCCATGAGTCAAATGCATTTTTTAAAGTGAGAAAACACAAAGGTCAGCCAGAAGCCAGAAGAGGCTCTTTCATGCTCTCTCTCTCTGTCTCTCTCTCTCTCTCACACACAAAATGGATCCCATCAGGTTCTTTCTTGTGCTAAAGACAAGCGCTATGACTCCCAAGCGAACAAGCTTGCTTACGTCATGAAGTCAAATTATCTCACGCATCCCGGCAGAAGCTTGTTGCCTGCTAAAGGCTTGCAGGAACAAGCTTTAGAACACGTTCCTAAGGGTCTCACCGGGCACAGGTGACAATGTAGACTATCATTTGAACAAATTAAATCATGTAATCGACATAGCAGGTTGCCACAACAAGTTAGAATGAAACTGAAGACATGGAAAATACAGAGCCGAAGAAAGGTCCGGGAGAGGTGGCAGAGGAAGTGAATGAATAGTGACTTGGCCAAATAAATGGGTACTCTGGTTCACCCTGAGTTTCTTGAATGATTGCCTACTTTATTCCCAGAGACCGAAGAGCTGTTTGGGGTCCATCAGTGGCTCATTTGCTATCAGGGTGTAAGCTCACCTCTTGGGAATTCTTCTGAGGGACTCTTTGCCCCTTCCCCAATTCCAGTTTCAAACAGAAATATTGACAATAGCTCTGTAAGCTATTTTTCACACACTCTACTGTAATTAAACCTTTCCTTGGGGTTCTGCCTCCACGAGACATAAGGCCCCTGAAGATGTGGGCGGCCCCTGTTTTGTTGACTTCTGTCTCCGGCCCCTAACAGAATGCTTAGCACATGGTCGGTGCTCAAGAACACTTGACTGAATGACAAGAAAATAGAAGTGTTGCTAGTCCTGTGTCCACTCAAGAGGAGACCTCTTTGAACGTCGGTAGCTTCGCTCTCCTCTGCCAACCCGAGATTTCGTCACACCATGGATGTTGCCAAGTAAGTTAAAGTAGCCGACCGTGTATGAGCTTCATACCAAAAGGATGATTGAGGCTTTCGGCTGTGGATAGCAGAGCCTCAACGGATTCGTCAGGTTTATCACATAGGACGAGTCCGTGCACCCCAGAGAAGAGGGTGGCGTGAGGAAAGCCGAAAGTTGCGATCCTCTCATAATGACGTCGAGTGACAATCACACTTTCTCCTTGCAAGCGTGGTGCCTGCTCCCGGAGCCAAAGCGATCTCTTTTCCACTTCTGGATTTCTTAATAACGTAAGGTGTGGACATGTGCTCCTTCTCGGTCATATTAACTGTCCTTCTCTGCCACATTTCCTGCAGCGTCCCTTCGTCCAGTGTTGAGTTGAAGCTTTCATTGCTTATTCTCTGCGCTCTTCGGCGTTACCTCATGGTTTCCTGATTCGTGAGAGAAGCCAGCGTCAGAAGTGGGGTTTTGCCGAGCTATTTTCTGGTCCTTTGCAGCCCAGAGCTCTATAAACAAAGACAGGGTTATCACATGTCCCCGAGGGCTGCCTGGGAAAAACAGGAGCTGTGGTTATCAAAATTGGAACCTTTATGAAATAGGCTTTTGTCTCCGTTTTTGTTGCATTCAATCAGATCAACAAGTGTTGGCTAAGTGTTGAGCGTGGTTTCCTGTGGGATTGTGTAAGGCCCTTGCAGGACAATAAACGTTTTGGGGGCACTGAGTAATGTAGCCATTTCTGACCCAGCAGCCGGGGAAAATGTGAGACATTCGCTGCTGCGGCTGGAAGGAGGGCAGCTGGGGCTTGCGTTCGGGCAAGAGCAGAGGAACCGCACGGCGGTGGACCCCGGCGGCGGATAGAGCCAGAATGGTGCGTTGCGGCGGCAGGTGGCCACACGATGTCATATCCTCCAGGCAAATGGGTTCAGAATGACGAATGTGAAATAGCTGGGGCTCCTCCGGGGACTTTGGATGAGACCCTGTAATTTGGAGGCCTGCGACGGTTTTACTGCCAAGTCCTCCCCCAGCTCAGCAACCTCGCTCAGGCAGGCGGTCAGGTTGTGTGTATGGCCCGCAGCTCGGGCGGGCTCAGCGCGTTTCCTCTGCTGCTTCTCTCCCCCCTCGTCCGCAGGCATTGCCCTTCCGCGACTTTGCATACTGGCTTCCTGGCCGCTTCCAGAAAGAGAGCGAGATGTTCGTCTTACCCGCTTTTATTTAATCTGTGTTTTTATGGTGTTACTTTGACTACAAATATTTGTTCTCAGGTTTCTGAAGGCTTCCAACGTCTGGGGTTTGGGGGGATTTTAGGTGGCGATGGAAAGATGGGGGAGGTGAAGCTTTCAGGAACAGCCACCGCCAGATAATGTTGAGAGTTCTCGCGGACCAGGACAAGTTCACTGGATTTAAGAAGGAGTGCGCGTGCATCGCGGTTTAGGTCAGGGCTTTCCAAACTCTCATGAGCACACGAGGCACCTGGGCATCTCGCTAAAATGCAGATTCTCAGGGTCTGGGGTGGGAACTGAGCGTCTGCATTTCTCACAAGCTCCCGGGCTACGCTGATACCGTCAGTCCGTGGACCACACCCGCAGTGACATCCACGTATTGATTTGTAAGAAACCCAGTGGCACAAGAACACAGTCAGTCAGGGGCTGGTTCACCCTGAATCTAAGGTAAGCCAGCCCAGGACTGAAAGCTTGAAACCGACGTGCAGGGCAGGCGCTTGCGGACAAGACAATGCACCCGGCGTCTTCCTGCCACAACCCCCCCCCCCCCCCCCCCCCCCGCCCCGTGCTGGGAAGAGGGATGAGAACTGAGATTTTATCATCAAGGCTCATTTCATTCTCTTCAGTTTTTAACCTTTCCTATGGTCTTTTTTTTTTTTTTTTTTAACTTTACCTAGGGAGTGATGAGGGGAAGGGGTACAGAATTGGGGAGTATCTGCGAGCGTGCTAGGCATCATATTGCCGTTTTCTCTCAACTCCTACTGACCCTTCGAGGTGGTTACTGTTTTACTCCCTTTACGGATGGGGAAGATGGGCTTTTGCAAGGTTAAGGAACACGCCAGGTTGCACAGAGCTGGAGCAGAGATTTGAACCCACCAGCTGGGTGCTTCTCCCCTGACCAACCCTGACCTAAGCAGTGCTGTGCGTTACTAATTCAGCATAAGGTATTAGGACATGGCTTTACCACCTTTTGCTTTTTTCCTAACTACTCCAAAAGGTGACTGAATTAGGACATACCCCATAGGATGGGGGGGGGGGGTAGGCCTACCCCACAGAGTAAAGGAATGCATATTTTTTTTCTTTTCAAAGGTTTTATTTATTTGCTAGAGAGAGAGAGAGCACAAGCAGGGGGAGCGGCAGGCAGAGGGAGAAGCAGGCTCCCTGCTGAGCAGGGAACCCAAGGTGGGACTTGGGATCCCAGGACCCTGGGATCATGACCTGAGACAAAGGCAGCTGCTTAACTGACTGAGCCACCCAGGCATCCCACGAATGCATATTTTTAAGGTGCTTTAAATAGTGCCTGGCATAACGCAAGCCCCCTTTAAATGTTAGCTAGGATTATTATTGCTACAATCACTCATATCCTTCAAGGTCCAGTTTTAATGTCCTCCCTTCCATAACGTCTTTCTTGATTATCTTAAGAAAAAGAAACAACTTTCCTTCCTCGGGCCATTCAGAACAAAGAGAACATGGGCTCTGCTCTAGCATTTCAGTTGTTCCTTTCCCCCCTTTTCTTTTTCAGTCGTGGTTCAGTGCCCATGGTATGCCCAGAACTTTGACATAAGCTTTCTCATTCGTGTCCCGTAAAGATGAGAGAGCTCTATAACCCATCTCATATATCTGGATCAGAAAACTGAAGCTTAGCGCAGGGAAGGGACTCGGTCAGGGTGACCCAGCTCATAAATGACAGCCCTGTAACCTCCTCCATGCCTTCTGAGTCCACTGCCGTCCGGCCACCTCGCACGTTAATTAGCTATGAAACCTATCTCTCAAGTCTGCTCCTTGTCACTTGGGCAGTGGAGAGCTGATCCTCGTTTCTGGAACCACTCACTCGAGGTCCTGCACGCTGCAGGCTCAAAATCAAGTGTGCTGGAGAGACCTGCAGAGCTGAACTCCCTACTCTCCTGATAACATTTCCTTACAAATGCTAAGTAACCATGGAGAGTCCAAGTCACGTTAATTTAGCATTCACCTCTTACGCATGTTATGGATTACATGACAGTTGCTGGCTTCCCTAGAGAAAACGCTATATTAGTCTCTGACAGTATTTTTGGTTTTGTTTTTTGTTTTTGCCTCCGCTGCACTTTAATGTCTCTCTAGTTTCTTGTGCTTATGGAAATAGGCAGCCTGGGCTATTTGGTAAGCAAATTGATGTATCTATTCCATGTAGGTGGTAATATGAGAGCCCAGCCAAATCCTGCCGGCTCTTCTATGGAAATAGATTTCTGGCTAATACTAACTAGCTTTAGGATCCCATTTCATTTTATTTTTTTTTTTATATTTTAAAGATTTTATTTATTTACTCATGAGAGACAGAGAGAGGCAGAAGCAGAGGGAGAAGCAGGCTCCCCACCGAGCAGGGAGCCCGACATGGGGCTCGATCCCAAGACCCTGGGACCATGACCCGAGCCGAAGGCAGACGCTCAACCATCTGAGCCACCCAGGCGCCCCTCTCATTTCATTTTAAAAGTGTTTTTTTAACCTTCCCAACTGAATATACCTTAAATATGGGCAGGCAGAGCCGAATTTGTTAGCCGTCGGGCAGGCATTTGAGTCAACAGTGGTACCTGAGCCTGTCGACTTATCGTCCTGATACAGGGAGGCAATATTACATTTCTAAAAATTAGTCATCACTCATTATCTCTTCCTATACCAAGGGAGATCATA